TTCTTTTTGCTTATGTGGTGCTGAGGAATCGAACCCAGGGCCTCAGGCATGCAAGGCAAGCACTCTACCACTGAGCCACCTTCCCAGCCCCACAGCTGCTGTTCTGCTTCCTGCTTTTTGCTCGTTAATTGGAGGTAAGAGTCTCCAGGATTTGTCTGCCCTAGACGGCTTGAGCCTCGGAACTCAGATCTCAGCCTCCTGCACAGCTAGAATTATAGATGAGCCACCAGTGCCAGTTTGATGATGATCTTCTAGTGGGCCTTGATTTACAAAATTCTTTGTTGTTGTTGGTTGTCATAGTTTTCTTCTAACTGAGTCTAATCTTGGCTGCAATTGAGAGTTTGAAGTCAGTCTGGGTTACAAAGCAAGGCCCTGTCTCAAAATGAAGGGAGGGAGGGAGTGTAAGAGGAGGAGAAGAAGGGAAAAGATGAATACTGACCACTCTACTGCTCTTTGACCTTGCTTCTGCTTCCTTAGCCCTGCCTGGAGAAGAACTTTCCTTGTTTCTGATAGGGCAGGTAAGAGTTAGCTCCTCCTTATTACATGGACTTGCCATTTGTGTCAGTTTCTTTCCTGTGATATCAGAAGAGTTCATATATTTACTTTTAAAATCAGCCTTTTCCTGGTTGTAAACATGATTTAAAAATAAGCAAATGTATCCGGGTGCTGGTGGCTCACGCCTGTAATCCTAGCTACTCAGGAGGCTGAGATCTGAGGATCGCGGTTCAAAGCCAGCCCGGGCAGGAGAGACTGTGAGACTCCTATCTCCAATAAACCACCAGAAAACCAGAAGTGGTGCTGTAGCTCTAGTAGTAGAGCGCTCACCTTGAGCTGAAGAGCTGAGGGACAGCGCCCAGGCCCAGAGTTCAAGCCCCACGACCGACAAAAAAAAAAAAAAAAGCAAATGTGGGGCTGGGAAGGTGGCTCAGTGGTAGAGCACTTGCCTAGCATGCATGAAGCATGAAGCCCTGGGTTTCATCCCTCAGCACCACATACACAGAAAAAGCTGGAAGTGGCGCTGTGGCTTAAGTGGTAGAGGCTGGCCTTGAGCTACAGAAGCAGGGATAGTGCCCAGGCCCTGAGTTCAAGCCCCAGGACTGGCAAAAACAAAGAAAAAGAAAAAAATAGTGAGTGCTTCTTTAGCATCGTATTGAGATTTAAGCTGGCTGGCAGACTTTCCCAAAGTGGAGTCACTGTGTTGATGGTTCTGTGGAGGCCCGTGAGTGGCTGGGTGCTTCCTCAATGACTAGGTAGCAGCCTTGACCTTAAATTAGAGGCTCTTCTTAGGGAGTATGAACATTGGTGATTTGTTGTTCTGTTTTAGTCATTAAGTATGTTTAATGCTGTGCAGAGCAAAACTAAACAAACAAACAAACAAACAAAAAACATTTAGCCAGGTATGGTGGCACACTCCTGTAATCCTAGCACTAGGGAGGCAGAGGTAGAAGAATGGTCTTTGTAAGGCCCTATCTTAAAAAACAAACGAAGGGCTACAAGTGTGGCTCAAGTGGTAGAAGACCTGTATATCTCTGGATTCAAACACCAGTATTGCAAATAATAATAATAAATGAATAAAATCAAAAAGGGCCAGACTTGGTGGCTCATGCCTGTAATCCTAGCTACTTGGGAAGGAGAGGTCTGGGGGATTATGGTTTGAAACCAGCTGGGGCAAAAAGTTTGAAAGACCCCATCTCAGCTGATAAAAGCGAGGTGTGAAAGCATGTTCCTGTCATCCCAGCCACACCAGAAGTATAAATAGGACCATTTTGATCCCATCTCAAAAATAACCAGCACCAAAAATGAGTTGGAGGTATGGCTAAGCAGTAGAGTACCTGCCTAGCAAGCCCTAGGTCCTGAGTTTGAACCCTAGTACTACCAAGAAAAGAAAAAAAGAAAAGAAAATAGAGTCAGCCGACTCAAATACTACATGGAAATGTACAGGACAAATGTAGCATGCTGCCCCACATTCCATTTAACGATAATAATGGCTAGCAGTTACTGAACACTTCCTAATTTGCCAGACCTGGCTGTCCTGTGTGCTTTAAATATGTTACCCCATTTTGACCTCACAGCCTACTGAGGGAGGTTGTGGTTTCACAGGTGAAGAGCACACACCCCAGGGAGTTTAAATCACAACTACGCAGCCTGTAAGGGATGGAGTGAGGACTTGGACTGGGCAACCTGGCCCCGAGCTGGAGCCACTATGTCCCTTCGGTGAAGAAGTCAGGTGTATTCTGCTTGTGTCCTATCTGTGAATCAGTCTGGGTGGGGATTTGGGTAGAGATCTAAAGGTAGAAGGGAACGGGAACGGGTGAGGTGTGGTGCTCCTGAGGGAGCATCCCTGGGAGAATGGGTATGCGGGTGTAATTCCATCCACCCAGCTGACCTCTGGGTATCGCTGTGACTGCTCTTCATGCTTCCTTAGGGACAGGCCCCAACTAAGGGTTGACATGAAGCTTGAGTTCTGAGGAACTGACTTCCACTCTCAAGTGACAGGGCTGGTGTCAGCAAGTGGGCATCAGGTTACAGAGCAGAGAGGACAGCCTTTTAAAGCCATGCAGCACACAGCAAGAGAGGATGGGCAGAGAAACCAGCCCAAATGAACTGTCATATTAAAATATAAATGCCATAGACTTCCTGGCTCCTACAACTTGTGGTAGGTATTGCCCATCATTTCCGATGGAGCACACTAGAAAGCAGATCATTCCACCAAGTAGCACGACAGATCTGTCAGTATAATCCATCACAGCACTTGTGTGTGCGTGCATACGTGTGTGTGGGGGGGGGGGCGTGCACGCAAGCCAAAGCTTGAACTCAGGGTCTGGGTGCTGT